TCCCTAAATTACTCACTCCAGGAAAGAACACTTCTGATCATACACTTGGTTTACATTTGTGGTTCTCTGTGGTTTGGTTGGTGTGTAGTTTGGATATCCTTCATGACCTTAGCCCTCTTGTGTGTATTTATGATCAAATGAATTTTCAGGGACTGGGCATTAGCCCAGCATTCTTTGCCAGTAAAAGGGGAGAGGGAGAGAGAGAGAAGTTTGTACAAACATCTTATGTAAAATTCAGTGGTAACCTGATGTAATATTTTGAACAGGAATGCAGAGCTGTTGAGATCAATTTAAGAAGGTCTGTGATGGCCCAGGAAATAAGGACCCTATCCATAATCTGAGACCCTAGAAATGTGATGCTGGTTGTCCAGAACTAATGCATAAGTGTGCCTGTCACTTTTGTGCCTCTGCTTTCACAAGCTACTAGGATCACATCTCTTGTACTATTTGTAAAATTGCTATTTTTTTTAGCTACTTAAAATACTGAATTGAATTGGTCTTTTCCAACACCAGGCTTCAGTGGAATATTCTTTATACAGAATTTCTTGGGAACCAGTAAAACCTACATAAGTTTGTTATTGTTTAATGGCTTTTGTCTTTCATTAAGCATCAGTGATGCATATTGAAATTCTGTGTAGTGGTGGAAGTGATCTGTGGATAGCATGCTATGGGAATGGCAGGCACATCTACGGTAACTAAAAATAGAGGGTCTTTCACAAATCTAAATTACCTTTTAATATTTGCAATTTTTTCATAGTTAATTTCAAGGCTGTTGAAATGAAGTAAGTATTGGAAATGTGGCTTATCTGGACTTCTTATCAAGAATCTAATGCATTTTTATGGCCTTTTTGTTAGCTTTCAAAAGCTGAGCAAGTACTTATTTAGCCCTGCTTCATTCCCTTTGGTGAACTTGAAGGACTCTCACCTCACTTTATTTTTCAGAAGTTATATAGCAACATTGCTGCATTTGTGTTCAGAGGCATATTTATTCTGATTAATGGTTTGCATCCACCCAAGAGAGTTGCATGCAACTCATTTTTAATGTTAATTTGTCATTAGAGTTAATGGTAGTTACAGGGACATCAGGAGGAGGAGGATATTTTAAAATGCATAATTATTACAAAATAGAATTAAAGTTAAATCGCTGTTTAATAGCTGCAGGAAAAAAATTACACATAGTTGATATTAGTGAAATAGATGCTTTTCCATGACAGTATTCTGGCAATTCTAGGGTGTTTAATTTATCTAGTCAGTCTGAGGGGAATGATATAAGTATCTATTCTGTTTTACAGTTTCAGGTTTGTCCTAAAAGTTTGTGCGTTTCTACACCTGGACACAGGACTGATCTTTTTCAGCGAGATCCTCAAAATGTTCTGATAACAGACTTCTTTGGTAGTGTACGAAAAGTGGAAATTACAACAGAAACTATTTCTCTGGATCCTAATTTGGTTATCTTGGAAAGCAGGTATGGCTTGATTTTTTTAAATATTTTTTTCCCCCTGCCCTCCCTTCCCCTCCTGCCCCAGGTATGGGGACTTTGGTTCATTTGGCTTCTTGCAGTATATACCCAAGGTAGTAGTAAGAGGAGCGTTTATATAATTTATCCTATAAAACAGTATGTATTCTCATTTTCTGTAGTGGGTATGCATTTTATAATATATGGTGTATCTTAAAGGTTAACGCTTTGACTCCTTACATTGTCTAGTATGTGATGGGTCGGTGTGAGGGAGGTGGTGTTGTGAGCCTTTTGCACCCCTGAGTCGGACTGCCCGGCCCTGGTACAAATGATTAGTGCTCCTTTGGAACCCTGATCTATAAACATTGGAGGGAAACAGAATTCCTTTCTGTTATGCCCCTCCTTTCCCACCCATAGCCAGCCTAAACATGTCCCTACTTTCTCCAAATTTAGGGTGGAGTTGTGGGCCTGGACCCACTTCCATTTACTTCCTGTTGACAGAGGATCAAGTAAGCAGGTAGAATTCTCCCCCTGCTGTCAGTGGTTGGATGAAGGCCACTTTGCAGTACTACTAAAACAGTGGTTTTAGCAGACTGAGACATTTTATAACTAATAAATTGTTCTTAGGTGAGATTATGACCACAGGTGTTTTCATAAAATTGGAATGGATTTTAGCTTTGTCAGGAAAACTGAAAATAATGCTCCATACCAGCCTACACTAATTGTATTGCATCTTATAGTTAGGGGCTTTGTACATGCCACTCTTTTTGTCCTTTCTTACGCTGCAATGGCATGACTGTTTGCCTGAGTGGATTTTCTGTACTCTTTAAAAATCTTTCGGGTACATTAAAGTAAAACTCCTTGGATGTAGTTTAGTTTGGCTCGCCATGAATTAAAGCGTCACATTCATCCATTCATTCTGTGCAAACACAATGGCACTCAAAGACATGTAATGAGCCTTTTTGTCCACCAGATGGTGCTGCAAATTTTAATTGTTTTACCACTTTGAATTGCTTCCTCTTTCAGATTGCTTCAGTTTTTTTTCTTGTGGCATTTGCTGGCTCCATGCTCCCACAGCTGCATGGCAGAGCATGGGTTGGGGGGCCCTGGGCCAGGGGGGCAGCACTGGACTGTTCCATTCTGCTGAGGTGCCAGGTGGGAACTGGGCTTAATTTGTTCAAAAACATAGTGTGCGCAGACACTGATGCAACGCTCCATAATAAACAACTTTAAATTTTATAATCCTGTTTAATTTAATGAGGATTAAACCCCATGGTGTATACAGGCACCCTTAAAGGAGAAAGTATTTTTGTTTCCCTTTTTGAAGCTTAATTTATCATTGAAAGTCTAGAAGATTCCCTATGTCTTCTATGAATTTGAAAGCTTTATTTTAAAATAAAAAATATTGGAAGTAGCCACAGAAAAGCAGCTCTGAAATAAAGCTTTTTGAAGCTCCAAAATGCATGCTGTTTTAGAAGTATGATGTGTGTATGCATATTATTTAACATATACTGATGATCTTTTTGGCAGGTAAATCAAAGCCAAATTGATCCATTGTTTTTGTCCCTCTGTAACAGGGCTTCCAGTTTTCAGTTTAAACTGAAAATTTGTGGAAATTAAAAAAAAATAAGTTTGGGAAAATTCTTGTGTATAAAATCTTAATCACTGCATTTCAGGCATCACTTATTTAGTTCTTAGAAAATTTCATACTTCATACAGGTCAGTCGCATCTTACATAGGGGTTACGTTCTGAAGTCGGCGCGTAAGGCGAAAATTGCGTATAGTCAAATTGCGTATTACCGTGCCAGCGATTTGACTAGCGGTGACTGCCTCTGCCTCCAAAACCTCCCACCACTGCTGCGGAGCCATGCTTAGAGCTGTGCGGCCAGCAGCAGCGGTGCAGCGTGGAGTGGTGGTGGGGATGGCTGCATGCCGCCCAGCCACCACCACGCTGCTGCTGCTGCCCGGCGGCCAGCCACACAGCTCCAGTCATGGCTCCATGGCGGTGGCGGGAGGTTTTGGAGGCAGAGGCAGTCACCACTGGCAGTGTGGTGGTGGCCGGACCTCCAGGTAAGTGGCAGCGCCGTGTGCAGACTGAAGTCCCACCCTCCCTCCCACCCCATGTATAGTTGAATTTGTGCAAGTTAAATGCGCGTATGATGCGACTGACCTGATATAGGGTTGTTGCTAAGGTGACAAGTGTGTAAAATATGGGGATTTATAGGTGAATCCTTAACTAAAGAAATGAGAATTTTTTCAAGTATGTGGCAAGTACTTTCAGGTATCACAGTATGACCAAAAGTAAAAGTGTCCTTTTTGTGTGCGTGTAAACCACATAATTTCACTTTCCTTCATGCAAATTCTTGTTTAATAAGCAGCATATATTTCTTTACCTTGTTTTGCAACTAGTAATCATTTTCTCTGTCATTTTAGCTCTGAGACAAACTATTGATTAGCTTGCTATACACACAAAAAATTCTGCCAAGTTTTCCGTGGCTTCAGTCCTGTGAACATTTGTTCCTTCATGCTTTACTCATCCTAGTAATCCCATTGTTGGAATGGGCTAACTCATGTGAGTGAAGTTACTCATTTACAAGTTTTTGTAGGGTAGAATCTGTTGAGAAATGATTAAAATGGGTATAACTTCAGCATGGATTAGCCAGTTCACTGAGTTAGCTTTATTTTTGGTCTTCTGTTGCCATCTATTGGGAGCATGTACAAAATGACTGATTTGTATTGTATTTGGTTCTCTTTTACACTTTTTGTTAAAAGACCTTAAAATATTATGTGATGCTTTCTTCCAGGAGGAAAAATGGAATGGAACTGTAACTGGTATACAAATATACATTTTTTTTTCAACATGGTACATGCAAATGACTGTTTGCAGTATAGAACATGTTGAGTCAGGTATTTGATAGCATTTTTTATTAGTATGAACAAAGGCTTACATCTAGAAAGAAAAAAATACATCTTACAGTTCTAAATTTATTGTAATTTCATTTTCATTTTCTATCTGACTAAAGCCCTTCCTAAAATAATCCAGATGCTTCCTTGCTACCCATTCTCACATATCCATAAGGTAAGGATGAGATGGAGGAGATGAGATTGGATGATTATAGTCAACCTGTCTGGCCTGAAAACTTACTTATTTCCTTTTGATTTGTAGAGGGGATTAAGGGATATGCCCCTATTAGCAGCTAGGTAAATTCTTAAATTTACTTGGGGGATTCTCATATAGTGTTTAGACCTATAGCATGTACAAACATTTGCTCTTTCCAAGGACAAACTGTCTTGGTTATTCCCAGGTTATTTTTCTCCTGAAGTGGCCATTTTTGTTGTGGCAGAAAAAGCCTGAACATCTGTTCACATCTGGTTTCTCCTAGGAGAGCAGTGACCCTCCTAGGAGAGAGTTAACGTCTGTATGAGGCTAGTTGCTGAAGCATATGAGAGAGATTCAAAAAATAATTGCCAAGTGTCCAGGGGTTGAGAATCATTACAGCCGAGCTGCGGTGCCACCAGACTGTTTAAAAGGTGACACCAGATCTGAGGAGGTCAGCGAAGCGTGAAGAGATGAATTGGAGAGCTAAACAGATGAGCAAGCTCTGGCTTGTCCCTGCCTGGATAATTCCCTGCCCGGACTGCCCAGCCCTTGTGTAATATATAAATTAGTTTTTGAAATTGGGTGCCACTCAATTCACAACAGCTGTGGAGGGCTGTCTTTAGTCTAGTGGGGGATGCCTTGAGTCCAAAAAGGTTGAGAACCATTAATCTTGTGTGTGCTGGTCCCACCTTCCCCTTTCCTCTCCCTTTGAGAAGAACCTAAAACATAAGTGTTTTTGACGGAGAAAAGGTTGTGAGCTATATAGAAAAACAATGCTGTATCTTGAAAAATCACCATCTTCAAAAGTAGCTGGCTGCAGGGTTGGCAGCACCCTCGTTCAGGACCAGTGCCATAAGGACAGGAGAATACTGATATGTTGACAGGGCACATCGTGTTCCCATGTTTACGTTTAAAAACAAAAACAGTGTTTATTAGGCAGTCAGACACAGTATGCCTTTTTAAAGAGTTCACAACCTCTTACTTTCTGTAAATCCAAGAGATAAAAAATGTATTATATAATCTAGGGCACATCAGGTCAATTTGCATTAATTTAATTCAGTAGTTTACCTTTCTTCCCCTCACAACAATCCCATTCATATTGACAGGAGGCTTTCACAAAGGGAAAAAAAAGAATAGCACTTTATTCTGCTGTGTTAATAACATGGTTATTCCATCAGGAGTAATTCTGTTGCAACTAATTGAGAATTTCTTGTGTAAGTGACAGAAAAATCAAACTTGTTGGCAGGTGGGGAGAGAAGGGGGTTGGGGGGTGGTTTTTTGTTTTTTTACATGAATATGGACAGAAGCCAACAGTTGCACAGCTGCTGTCTTGTGCTGTTGTGAGAAAAGGAAAATGTTAAGAGTCCAATAAACTGCTAATTTAATAAGGAGTTGCCTGGTAAGGCAAAGCAGTACAACAGCAGTTCTCAACTTGGGTGCCATCACATTCAAGAAAGTCATAAAGGAACTCCCTAACTCTTTTTTTTTTTTAAATGGGAGGGTGGGTAAGGAGGGGTGTGTGTATGTGTGTGTGTGCGCGAGGGGTTAGCCACTGTTTTAACTCATTAACTGACCAGAGGGCTTGTGTTTCTGCCCCAGGTGTCCATTGCTTCTGCTGGAGTGTGGTATTTTCCCATGTCTCTTCTCAGTCCTTGACGCTGTACAAGGCATTGAAGCCTTTTTGAAAGATGTGACCCCTTTTCCATCTTCAATAGCATAAAAAGTTTTTTACTGCTGTAGTGATGTTGTAGCTGTGATGATCCAGAAATATGTGAGAGGTAGGAACTTGTTTGATCATATATTTTATTAGACCACTGTATAGTTATGAGAGAATTTAGACAAGCATTTGGGCACAAAGTATCTTTCCTCAGGTTTGAGAGAATCAGACATAGCTTGAACTAAGTATTAG